GTTTTTTTTTTAAATGTTTGCCCACCCTTATCCTTATCATCTTGATTGTTTAAATAGCCTCCTCTAAACATTCAAACAGCTGGATCATTAATCTTTCTTCCATAAATTTACACTCCTATTTTTTTTGAGTAAGGGAAGCATGTGTTTGACTCCCTTCTTTGGAAAGGGTGAGGTTTTGAACAATGCTTTAATGATGTCCTGTGGGTAACCTTACAGACTCATCTAGGCAAAAGAAGCCACCTCTAGATGAAGGTCATTGACAATTCACCACGGCCAACTCACCATGGATAATTTGCCATCAGACAATTCACTGTGGGACATGAGTTACACCAGGGGTCTTCAAACTTGGCCCTTTTATGACTTGTGGATTTCAACTCCCAGAATTCCTCAGCCAGGCATGCGTGGCTGAGGAATTCTGGGAGTTGAAGTCCACAAGTCATAAAAGGGCCAAGTCTGAAGACCCCTGAGTTACACTAATACCAAAGAAACGGTGGAACAGAATCGTTAAAGAAAGGATGCAAAAGGAAGGACCAAATGAAATGTGAATGACAACAATTAAAATATTTTTTAAATTATTTTAAATAATTAAATTGAATGGTTCAATTGTCCCGTGGCGAGTTAGCCTGTGGTGGAACTAGCCACGGGGTGGGGTGAGTTGTCCCATTCCGTCTCGATGGTGCCCATCACCAGTTCGTTGTTCTCTTTTCCCAGGTGTGAGCTCCCTACTCAATCTCTTGAGTTCAGCTCAAGATGAAGATCAGCCAAAGTTAAACATCTTGCTTTGTGAAGCCGTGGTGGCTGTCTACCTGAGCCTTCTGATCCATGCTCTTGCCACAAATGCTTCCAATGAATTATTCCGGCTGGCAGCCCATCCTCTGAACAACCGAATGTGGGCCGCGGTGTTCGGAGGAGGCGTGAAACTTGTGGTTAAGCCCAGGCGGCAATCAGAAAATATTCCAGGTAACTCTTCAAAGGATTATGAACCTTGGAGAAGTTCTCATAATCAGAAAGGATGCCTTCCTAGTCCTGAAATCACGGTTGAGCTTTGTGCCTCCCCAAGGCTGTTCCCCCAAGATTAAATTACATCTCCCCTATGCCGAGATTTAAAGGGATGCTTTTCAGAAGGCCTAATGAAAATATTGCGTTGTTGCGCTTTTTTTTT